CCAGTCCACCACAGGGCACACACACCCCCTGGACGGGACACCAGTCCACCACAGGGCACACACACCCCCTGGAAGGGACACCAGTCCACCACAGGCACACACAGACATCTATCAAATTAAAATGAACTGATTTATAGATTGAGAGTAAAGAGGAAAACCAACCAGCATGAAAAGGAAATACCCCCCCCCACCTGAGGTCCGGTGGCTCCGGGCTGTCCTGTCAGTCCCCGCAAACCTGGAACGCCTCGCTCTCCCTGGAAGAGAAACCCAGCAAACACAGCCAGGCCAACCCTGAAAGCAGCATGGCCTCCAGAGAACGGCCACTGCGGCGCACAGTGAGGGTCTGACCAGCACATACTGTAGCAAACTACAAACAAACACATCAAGCGCCCAGTTTAACTGTGCGGAGATCTGTGAAAACACCAGATACTGTACATTTGCTGTCCGGTATTTGCATAAGGGAAGATATACCTCCATCAGCCCTTGTCCAATCAAGGGAAGTAAGAATTATCAATCATTTGGCTTATTTTGTACTGGAAATGACTGCAGATTTGTAACCATTTATACGACTGGACATTGCACCAGAGCATGTCTAGTGAAGTACGATGTACAGGGGTACAACAGACATGCCACCACAAGGTCTTTTCTCACAACCTTCCCATTGGAGTTCAAGAGCTCTGGCCACATCGTCCCCTTAAGGAATTAAATTACTGTGATGCTGTGACACAACATAATGATCCTGTTAAATCGTATTTGCAGTATACAGTACCGCAATGTAATTTTGTGGATATATTACACTGGTTTGTGCCCTGTGCTCTTGATAAACAATATTGGGGGGCAGTGGCATTTTAAATAAAGTCCATTAGACATTGTATTCAGCATTACTCAGAGTAAGGAAAGTCTATTGCCATTATTTGATCAAAATCAAGCGAGTGACTGCGCCTGCCAATCCCAGCCTCATTCCCTGGAATTTCTAGAGAAACTTGCCTGGAAGCCAGATGTTCCGAGAACAGCCTTGGCTCAAAGTATTGTCAGGGGGCATTTTTCATATATGGAATTTGGGTCATTTCGTATGCACACAAGAACAATATTAGCTCAGCAGAAATTATTCAGAACTTATTTCTATCATACAAATTTCCTCAAAGTGTTCCCAGAGGATCGCAGCAGATGTGACCTGAGGTTTCACCCTCTCCCTTGACAGCATGGCTGTGGGTCTCCTCTGTTCAAACTCAGCATCAGGAGTAAGTTGTACTGCTGCAGGCCCTTAGCAGAACTGATGCACTTCTGTATTTCATGTGCAAAGCATGGTTTGTCGATCTCAACTGTTATAAGACAGATTCCAGACTCCTATATGAACCCTGAAACTTCTGAACAGTTTGCTTTTCTAACCTTAAGGTCTTAACACGAACATACACTGCTGTATCACAGTACTGACAAATGATTTTAAACTGTAACATAACGTCACTGAACGGCAAGGGAAATGCTGGTGACAAATGGCTGTTAACAAATTAGCCCCATTCAGGTACATTCTGGGAAAAGTATGCTGTATATGCTGATCAAATACTGTAGTAAAAGAGATATCACTTTTTTGTGCGTGTTTTTAGAAAGATAAAGTATACAGTTTTTGGAGACTGGTGAAAGGATTTGGCTTCACTTTGATTAATTGAACATTACTGAGACGCCAACGTACACTGGAGTGATTTTGACTAAATCACCTCATTAGTCACTTTGTTAGCAGGGATTTTACACATTGAATGTCGTGCTTGATGAAACTCAAGAAAGGAAAACACAGAAAATGAAACAACATTCTCTGCAGATCAAAAGAGAAAAAACGCCTTCCCGCTGTTGGTATGTACTGTAGGAGTCTAGATTAAGTCAGTACACTGTTGCTTGTCATCCAGGGTGTTTAAACCAGCAAATTATAATCTAACAAGATGTTACAAACAGGCAGTATATCAATGTCTGTAAGGCATGATGCATTGCCTGACTGCTGAGGGGGCCCAGTGCGATGTTCTGCGCAGGAGTGTGTAGCTGTTACAGACTTCCAGCTGTAGAGATTGATGGGAGTCTGGTTGCAGAGTGCTGTGCAAAACAGGTCCTGGAACCTCACTTGCTGCAATTTCCGCAAGCTTGTCCTGATGTAACTATGTTCTTGTAACAGCTGTTCTGCATGATAGGAAGGCGACAGATCTGTCACTGGTGCTCTGCTCACCAGTCATCAACGCCATTAAACATTTGCTTGTTGAGCTGGGAAGATGTGTGGGTGTCACGATCGCAAACCCCTCCTCTTAAGGGCGCTCCGGCCCTTCCTCGTTTTCTCCCATTACCTGCACCTGTTCCCTATTTCCGTTCCCCCTTAAAAGCCAGACGCAGACTTCACTTGAGGTTCCTCATTGAATTCTGCTTCGTGAGAGCCCGGGCCCTGCTGCGTCTGGCTCCGTTACGCTTTTAACCTTCCGTTCCTGATCCCCCCCCCCCGCCGGTCCCGACCCGGTTCATGGTTTTGATTCCCTGGATGGATCCCCTGGCCTTGGACTCTACCTTCTGTCTTGGAGACCCGTTTTGAATTTTCTCATGGATTGTTCACCCCGGATTCACTCTCCCTGGACACCTGCACCCCTTGGGCACGCCCCCTGTCTCCATACCCTCTCCTGCGTGGCTTTTTCCCTACTGTTTCCTCACCAACCGGATCGTGTCGTCTGCATAGGGCCCGGAGAGAACTGTTCGTGACAGAGGGGCTCAGAGAAAAATAATCGCACTCTTTTAATACCTTGCCAAGGCTTGTTTTTTTAATTTAGCTCAATAGAGCCCTAGGGCCATTTTGTGGTCTTTCTAAAGTGAAATATTTTATTGTTGAACTTTACCATTATGCTTACAATAGCTCTATACGTTTCTTTGTAGCATTAAAAAGTATTTCATTTAAAAAGTAAGTTTAATTTATTTACTGGGATATATTTACATCTCATAAGTTTATATTTCTTTAAAACTGAAAATGGGATGCCTTTGTTTGCACAAATAGTTGGACTAAGATGCTAAAAACCAAACAAGCTTAATAATCTTTAATGATCTCCCCTCATTTACAAAATAGCTTAAATCTTCTGGGAAAGATTTAAATATGCAATGCAACAAAACAAGACCGCAGCCAAAGACAAATTAAATAATAAAAAGTACAAACGTGTGGTACCTAACTGCCTGAAGATGTTTCCTCTTTTACTGTTACATTATTTGCCTCAAACATATAAAGCAATTACAACAAAATATAGCTTTATCAAAAGTCACAGCTGACTGGCCGACACAAGACTGTTTTCTCAAAATCTTTAGGACCTCAAATAAGTAGAAGAAGGAACAGGTAATGGGTTTATTCCATGCTGAAAAGAGAAGATGAGAAACACAAGGTTTCAGCTGTGGAGCCTTTTTCACAGACAAACACACAGTGCTTGATCCACCCACCCACACTCACTGGTCCTCACACTGAATCCATTCTCATTCAATAACCTGTTTTACCAGCAGGTTGGTGGAGTTGCCATGGGCACCAGGATGGGACCCAGCTATGCCTGGGTAGAAGAACGCTTTGTCCCTGACCTCTACAGGCGATACATCGATGACTGCGTCGGTGCCGCCACATGTTCTAATGACCAGCTAGAGCACTTCCTGCATCACTTCACCAACTTCCACCCATCCCTCAAATATACAGTTAACAAATCTTCCATTACTGTTCCGTTCTTAGGCATAAACCTATCCATTAACCATCCACGACTCTCTACTCCTGTCTATTACAAACCCACAGATTCGCACAGCTATCTCCTCTACAGCTCATTTCACCCCACACCCGAAAAAGGCTCCACAGCCGAAAAGTTGTGTTCATCTTCTCTTTTCAGCCTGGATACACCTCTACTTGTCCCTTTGCTGACGCAGCTCCCTACTTGAACTAAGAAGAAAAAGTACTTAAGAAATAGCTGTTCAGCTGCGTCCAGGAGCTTTTGTTTTAAATATCATGTACAATACATCCATTTCAGGCTTGGCATCTGATAGTATAACTGATGGCTCAACTTAAACAAAAACAGATTGGTACGTTTATCCCCAAGACAATGATTGTGAACCACTGCCTTAAAGTATAAAGTTAACGTAAGGAAATCTCTGATTCTCTGAAATGTAGATTCAAAGTATTCAAATTTAGTGCAAGGACTAAAAAAGGGAAATTTCACATCTCCTAGACATAATAATCGAAGAATAAGAATCTCTAATTAGGCAATGTAACCATCACACTAAGACATCCATGTTTCTTAAGTGTGAACACATGTAAAAATTAGGTCCAGTTCCCTAAAGGATTAAAATTCTTCCAGAACTCTTCCTTCATGTTGACTATTTCAAGTAGAGACGTGTAGTGTTTGTTATTTTAAGACCAAAGTATACGCAGTTAAACAATTAAACATTCCCATTGGACTCTAAAGAAATCCCTTACCTTCTCTCCCAGTAGCCCACGTTGTCCCTTAGGACCCTGAAAATAAAACACACCTCCTTAACCTTCATTTTCAGTTCTTCTCAGTAGAAGGAACCATCTGCACTTAGTAATACAATAAAAATCCAGTTTGCAGCCATTATTATGAAATGATGAGCGAATAAGAATCTAAACTGCAGCCATGTCTGCATTTTCTCATGAGTCCTGAACTTTATCCAGAACAATGTCACTTTCTATTTCTGAACTAATTAAAAAGTCAACAGTTCTTAAAAGGTACAGATATGATAAGAATAAGCCCACTCAGCCCACTTTTACTGCATTATTCAATATTAATAGTTTCTGGAATTTAGATTCTCAAATGTATTGATGGAGAACTTTTCCCCCATACTACACATTTTCAGTATATGGAATGTTATCTGCTGGTTTCAAAGCCTCCTGTGATGTAAGGAAGTCAGGCCATGTGTCAGTCTGCTGCAGCTGTGTAGTTAAGATGCAATGTGACTCAGATGTGACAACGGAATATCGGTCAGCTCAGTACAGGAGCTCTCTCAGGTGTCTGGTTCAGTAGCTGAAACAAATACTTTTTGAGAGGTTGAGAGTGAGCAGTTTCTAGAAAAGGACGGAGACACTCTGCAGAGCTAATAAAGAACATTATGTGCTCCATATTAACATAATATAGTATTTCAGCTGTTCTAAAAATGGAACAAGCCGGCGATTATGAAGGGACAGCGTACTCAATACTCTGTCTTTAACTGGCTTTAACTGAGAGAAAGACACTGCTGGCTGGAGATCAGCGCTGACACGTCACTGTCGCTTATAAAGCAGAGTCAGTGAAAATGCTGCAATGGGGGATCTGGGGAGGAGGGAGGGGGCTGGAAAGATGCTCACAGTGCCATCAACAACCGTCATTAATTAATTTTGTCATTGAATGTGCAGATTGATGTACAGCACATATATGTGCAGAGAAGTTGAAGTGTGAGATTGATGGTGTGACTAAACAACAATATAATGTTAATAATTATATTTAATGGCACAATTATTAGGTCAATGTCCTTCAAGGGACTAGAGTGTGATCATGGTGTATCTCTCCTTGCGCCCATAATCTGGTCAATGAACATGGATGACATGTATTAGAGAATCAGCAAGAGTTCCCATGGCATTGGCCAGCATTTAACACATGAAAGCTATCTCCTTACGCATGATATAAAACTGCTCATCTTCCACAGGAACAGTGTGCCAATATGTTTAAGTGACTTGGAGTCTCTATAGCTATAGATAACATTCATCAGGGTCATCAGAGTGTCTTAAGCAGCAATTTTTTGGTTGATGACAGACTATGACACCACATCCAGGACAGAAGAATAAGCCAGCCAACTTTTCCACAAGGAAATTCTCTAAGTAAATATTATCAGGGAAAGAGTCCCATAAGAAAGCGTTCCACATGTTGATTGATGTTCACTGGAAAGGAGATTGCTATGTTTCTCACCTTTGCAGTGATAGAGCTGTGGTGGAAAGACTGGAAATACAAAAAAGGTTTTCTTTTCATCCTACCGGTGGTTGAAAACGTCTTTAAACTCCCTCCCCAGATTACCGGCTTTGGGCTCTTTACATCTGTGAACCACTTCTTCACATTCACCCATGTGCTGTCCATGCCCAGCTAATTTGGTCAATATTTTGTGCACCTGTGGTGGAAGAAGTTCCACTAGGAAGCTTGTGGCGAGGTATTAATATGTTACAGGATTTACAAGATGGTATAACTAACATTAACTTACTTCATGTCCTTTACTGCCGGCGGCTCCAGGAGAACCATCTAGACCTGCATCACCCTGTGGAATAAAGGAGGAAATGGCAAAAGAATGATGTGAAAGGACTGCACTGATCCTAGAGAATTCTATAGTATGTGTTTAAAATAGTCACCCCCAGTCATATCATCTTTTCCAACAGAGAGTCTGAGTGCTGAGTCTCTGCAGTACTGGAGTTCTATTACAAAACATGTTCTGGCACCAAGACCTGTGAAGTATTAAGCACAATCCCTGGTTCTCCTACTGTAGTTTGTGTAGCATGACCTCAGCACCTAAGAGGTACCAAGCAGCAGGTTTAGACCTGTAATAAGGTCAAATTTAAAGTCACCAGGAAAACAGATTATCTGTTTCTAGGTCCACAGCCACAAAGTGAAATCACAGTGTGGTGTTAATGCAACTTGAACTCCATTTAAACGTCAAAAGAAACCCCATTTTAGCTGATATCTCCAGACCATGAAACAGGATGTTTCTGTGATCTAGCTGCTTTTGTATCCTGCAAATTGTATCAGTGGATTTTGCCTACTGTGTCTTCTGATGGCCATTGGGCTGATTTCAACATGTGTGGTTTATAAGTCAGTAAATGCATCCTGCCTTTACAATGTTTGATGCTGAGGAACTTGTCCATTTTCTATTATCCCATTTTTCCCTGGAGATAATCATTGCAATGTTTTCACAATCAACAGAATTGTGCAAATCAGTGCTGTTCATGTCCTCACAAAACCTGTCAGTTTCACATGCCACACTCCTGTTGCAATCACTCTGCTGCACTGTTACCTGTCAAATGTATAGTAGAGTGGATTTAAAGATCTATTTCGTTACAATGCTTTGTATTAGCTTAATTGACTGTAGTTGAAGAGCCTTTTGCAATCTTGATGCCTTATATTTAGCAGATGTTTGTCTGTTATTTGGCTCACATACAAGAATGAAAATCAAGTGCAACATCTCTCTGATGCAGAATTATATGCCCATGTCCCTGTCTTTCTCATTATAGTCTGTTTTATTTGTGTGTGGATTTTTATTTTTCTTAGATGCTTCTGTAAATGTCTGTCCTCAGCTCATTAAGCAAAAATGAAATTGTTTTGTTTCTGTTTCTACCAGATGTAATTATCTGAAATTATTTGGAAAGCAAAGAGGAGAACCTTTTTAACTGAGTTTAATGATTTATTTTACATGAGATGAGTCCTTAGGCCTTCCAATGCTGCTGTTGCTTTTAAAGCTGTTGAACTTTTTCCAGGAATATATCTCTGGCAAGTGTAAAGAGTCCTCAATCAAAACAACCACACTTTTCTTGAGAAAGACAGATCAGTTTGAAACTGTTTTTCCGAAGAATAACATGTTCCCAGAGCCCTCCCCAGTCAATGAATCACTTGCAGCAATGAGACATCAGAATAGATTTCAAAGGTGAAAATCAAGCTCCACCCACCGGTATTCCAAGGCTTCCTTTCTCCCCCTTGAAACCACGGACAGTATTGTCTGTGCCAGAATCGCCCTGGAACACAAAACCTCAAAGAAGTTAATTCAAAGCTGTTCTAGAACAGAAAACACTAAACTCTTGCTCCTGCACGGAAACGTCATAAATACTGATGCCACCTCTCTTACAGTAAACGTTTCAGGGGACTTCAGATATAACAAGGTTTTGTTTGTTTTTGGTATGTTGTAGTCATTTAAAAAAAACTAATTTAAAAAATGTACTAAAATTGTAACAATGCGTAAAAAAGCTCTGTAAATGCACAATTAGTAAAATAAGGTAAAAAAAATACTAAACAGGTTTACCATTTAAGAATTAATGATGCCCTTAAAGGGGTAGGTCAGTTGCTTATGATGTGTTTTTTGTGTTTTGTAAGCTTTAGTTAATTTCAGTATTTTTACGACATGAAGTATACTTCTGATTTAAAAGGTACAGGAGCAACTTTCATTGACTATGTTGAGTGCAACTGTTAAAAAATAAACAAAGATCCAAAAGGATATGTACAGTATAGTGAATATATTGTACACATTTTGTTTTCTCGTATACTAGTGCATTTTGTGGCTGATCATCAAAAATCAATAGTCCTTTAGTCCAATAGTGTGATTTAATGGACTTTAGGAACAAGTAATAGATTTATTCCATGCTGAAAAAAAGAAGAGAGAAAACATTTCGGCCGTGGAGCCTTCTTCACACCTGAAGAAGGCTTCACGGCCGAAACGTTGTTTTCTCTCTTCTTTTTTTTCAGCATGGAATAAACCTATTACTTGTTCCTTTGCAACCTATGCATGCTGACGCAGCTACCCACCTGAACTACTACAGCCTTTAAGCAATTAAGCAATCACAGACATCCCTTCCCTCCTCTTAGACTGTTAAACCAAGTCTCTACAAGAAACATTCTTCCAGCCACCTACAGCTGAATGTTTTATTGCTTATTGCTATATTATGAATATTGGCATATGAGATATGGATGAGTTTAAATTCTGATAATTAAATCATCAGCTGCTCTCATTTTTATATTTTCTTTTCTTCAGGTTTCAAGGGCTTTTTTACATACTAATGTTGGATCAAATACACTCAGAGAAATAAGGTTTTTTCCTTTTGGAAATCCTGAGGAGGACTGCTGCAATGTTCCAAGAGGTAATTCTCTATGTGCTCATTCAATGGATAAGAAGGCAGCTCACAGAAAATTCAGGTCACCTAAAGACTTGCAGAACAGATCTGTGGCCCAGAGAGTGGGTGTACTTAGGAAAACACTGGCTAGAACAAAACCTGACATAAGATCTGCACCCGTCTGAAGACTGAAAGTGTCTACATTGTGGTGCTAAACTCTAGTTTTGTTGTAACAAAACGATCCTAAATTGCTTTAAATCAGTAAAGGTAACTGTTGAGAGGAAACTGGAATGAAAGAGAATCCAAAGAGAATCTGGATGAAGACAGCGGTGCTTGTTAATTATAGCTATCTCTAACAACCCTTTTCATGAGGCTCCAGAGTAAGTCAACAATATTTCTGGCAAGACCTTATCCTCTTAGGCACACAGATATGTAATGGGAATCCTTCCCAACTGCTTGGACACAAAGTCACTGACATCATTTACGGTAAGCGCGCGTCTGTGCTCAGTGCTCACTCGGGCAAAGTACTGCCTTAAAATATTTTACTTTGTGAATGGAGGATGGGCAAACTTTCCGTTTTCCATTGTTACCGAAGACCGTTTTGTCTACACAAGCGCTGTCTACACGAACGTGACTTGTCGCCATTTAGGTACAGTAGAAAGAGAGAATTTAAAAGAGTGGTGCTGTCAGAGGCTTGGAGAGGGAGAGACAGGGTGACTACTTACACAGTCTCCTCTCAAGCCCCGATGCCCCGGCTCTCCCACTTCCCCTTGGTCTCCCTTTTCACCCTGCGAGCAAGACACTTACTTCATCACCTTTCTCTCAGATGGGAAATTCGCTTTGCAGGCAGGTAAAAGACATACAGTATGTTCACACGAGACACAACAAGAACCTATTACAGTATCTATTAAGAGACATACAGTACGTGTGTGATCAGAAAGAAAATACGTTATTTACTGGAAAAAAGACAGCCAATTGTGCAAATTAAGCAGGTTAACAGCTATGGGATTAAAAGGCCAAAATATCACCACCCTTGGTGCACTCGGTCATGATTAATAATTCATTGAAAATAATTCAATTTTATTGCACTGAGGCAATTGACATTTTCTAAGATCACTTTTACTATAGAAATACAATTACACTAATGTACATGCACATTTTTAGTATTTTAGGTACTTTCTAAATATTGTATGCTTTAATACTGACAATTTATGAGTTTCAACAAAAACTTATTTTAATATGTTGCTCGAATTACGATATATAGTATAGGACAGGTGTGACACACCCTACTCTAACTAGGGATGCAAACACAAAAACTCAAATAGGATCATGAGAGAGT